TTTGTATGGAAGAAAAAAAAATCTAAACTACACCTATATATTAACATTAATAGTGGGTAAAAAAGACATGCTGTCAAGTTAAAGGGGTCATATGATGCTTAGCGTGTTAGAACGAGCCGTTTTAGGGGGGCGTGGCAGAGTCTTAACTTTGATAAAGAATATCTCTTTGGTTTTGAGACTTTAGTCTTTGCAACTTCAGGGATCTTATCTATGCACAATCAGCTTGTAACACTCCAAAGAGAAAGGAAAACTTGAAAATCGCATCATATGACCCCTTTAATACAAAGTAAATATTCTTCAGATAATATCCCAATAGTTTGCTTTGACTTCAGTACAATGACAATATAAAAGCCAATTGATTTTGAAATCATGTCTTTAAAATATCATGCTTCATTTTTTGGAAAAGTTGGAAAAGCCCTGACATAAAACAATGTAACAAGAGATCCATACATTTCAAGTCTTAAGTCATACAATAGTAATTTCTTCATTGATAATCTTTATTTTGCAGTGACCTTTTATTTTGCTATCACATGTACCAGCTCAAAAATTTAGGATGGGAATGAGATTTAAGAAATGCAACAGAGGGGAACTTTTCGGTGAATACCAACCTACATTTCAGTTTCTGTTTATTATAAATACAACCGTTACATGGCTTCAGAAGACTTCCAATGTAGCACACAAGTCATATGGACTCCTTTCTTACTTCTTTTATGGTGTTTTTTGGTCCTCTTTGGAGCTTGACAGCCATGGTCACTAAGACCTGTAGCTGAATGCCGCTTGTTCTTAATGGATGATGGAGGCAGAAAAGTGCACAGTGTCTGAGCAGAGGTCAGAGGGCCGTCTCGGCATGTCCAAGGCTATTCAACTCCTTGTTAAAGTCTTAAATACTAGTCAGACTCTGAGTGTTCCCACAACCCCTCCTCCAACTCAGACCTGATGGACAATGTGGCCCAAAACGAAACTAAAGTGTTTCTATCACCGGTCAGCAGTATGGTGTTCAGACAGTAATGTAGACTGCTCTCTGCATCCGAGCACAGAACAGCGCTACCTGAAGTGACCCAGTGAACCATTGTTTTTATAGTGCAAGAAAATAAACTTGACAGCTCAGTGCAATGAACCTCTGAGAAAGAAAATGAGAGCAAATGAGAGTGTGAGTGAGATGCGGAGGCCGTTTCTTGCTTCAATACAAAAGGGGTCAAAACTTAATATATATATATATATATATATAGACAGCTGTTTGCATAGCTTCTCAGTGAACTATGGCTCTGTGAAGTAAATGCTGCTCCATCTGAAACATTCACCGATTCGCTCTGTGCATCGGCATAAAAAGTTAACGATGCGATGCATCGGTTTAAAAAGTGTGCATCGGTAACAAGTTGGCATTTCTAACATATTTGCATCAGTAAAAAACGATTCATTTATATATAATTACTAGTGGATGCACTATACTTTTATTATTTAGAAAGTGACCAATATTTTATATGTAGATTGATTTCTCCTCTCTAAACTGTTTCTCAAGCACGCTCTCTCATCACCGCTGCTGCTGGCTGAATATGATGCAGCACAGCAACACTGCAGAGACCCGAGGAAAAGCGGGCAAATTAAATTCACTCAATCTCACTAATTTTTGCACGCTTATTCTTAAGCAGACCTTAATGTCGATCATGGATCAAATCAATCCACAATGACTAACAGCGAATATATCTGTGCTGTTTAATGCATTTGAGACGTTGTGTTTTCCTCAGTGCATAACTGACATGTCATAGGTATATTTTTCATCTGTAAATGTTAGAAAGTCATGCAAACATAACCCTTTTTCCTGTCAGGAGTGGGCGAGGCACGCGAGAGCAACGAGCGCGCTAAACAGACAGAGCGCAATCGAAAAGGAGCGCAATAATTCTGAGTAAAATATACATTTTGCAAAAAAATTTGTTTTTGGTTAAATGTGTCTTTTGTAGAATTTTAAACCTACATATAAAGTGTATTTTTATGATAGCAGTAACTGTAAGTGGACTATTGTAATAGGTAGGCTAAATCAATTGTAAGCTAGTAGGCTACAGTAGGCCTACTATAATTACTAGGGCTGTGTATCACCAGCAAAGTCACGATACGATACGTATCACGATACAGAGGCCACGATACGATATGTATCACGATACATGACTGCACTGAATTTCACCTCAGCGGAATTTAGAAAAACAGCTGTTTATTAAACTGCTTACTATAGTGCCATTTCTAACTATTAGGCAGAGGTCATAACTGTACCACAGTACAATATAGGTAATTGCATATGTTTCATGTTTACATTGTGCACTCCCCACCAGGTACAATATTCTGATTGTTTGCATCTTGTTTTTAAGCCCATAAATAATAATGTACTTGTTCTAATAAATTTATATTGTAATGTACTCATTCTAATATGTTTAAAAAATAATTTACATTGCTGGTAGGTTATCATTGCACAAATTAACACACTCTCTACAATAAAAAAAAAAATTAGAAGAGTTATAAACTAACGCTCTGTCTTCACTGTATCTGACGCACACACTCACAAGGCTGATTTATGGCTGATTTATACTCGAGCGTCCGCAAGTTCGCTTTGAGTGCGCGCGACGTTGTTTCACGTGGCGGTGTGCACAACATTTTTTGTAATTTTCCGCGCAGCTCCGCTTCCGAAGATGCACGAATTCAAAGCGACTCTAGCTGAACATGCACGTCTGTGCGAAACAGAAGCAGTTTGATGTTAAGTGCAGTCAGTCACACACAGATCACGCTGCGGCCGCACTCAGACATTCAGGAACAAACTTTTTAGCGCTGCCCCGCAATTTTATCAACTAAATAGCTTAATCGCTCAAGAGCTACATTATCTTTCTCAACAAGGAGCTGGTAGCATCATTGTTTCTAAAGGAATTAAAGCCA